TTAACGAGAAGTTGAATTTTTGACGAGATTCATGTCGGGCTATGTGGAAAGGCTTCTGTGTGCAGAAGTGAAAGTCAGGCTTAAATTACACAAAAACATAGCAACAGTTAATACTGACACTTTGCCAATGTTTTGTGCAGGAAGTTACTTGGCCAAATATTGGTTTCCTGGGACTTTTGTTGCCATGGTTTCAATCAGGTATAGATGTCTTTTTATTTATTATTATTTGAGAGGCCATTGATTGCAGCCCGAGCTGGAACCTCTGAGTGTAGGACGTTTCTGCTTGAAAAGGACTGAAACTTTTTTTTTTTATCTCTCAAAAACGACGGCGTTTAACTTCCTCTGAGCTTCGTGCTGCACGGCTCAGTCGAGTGATTCCCTCCTCGTTGCACAGCAGATGAGATTACCTGCTCCGTGGTGTCATAATTGTCTGCAGCACACTGAAACTTATCTCCACGTATGACTGCCATGTGTACGTCTGTCTCTGTCCGATCTTTAGCCGATGATTCGAAGGTGAGGCGGTCTGCAGGATCACAGCAGCTGATTGGTCCATTTCCCGTCCTGACTGTGAATATAAACCGTTCTAAGCTGCACTTTATTGAGCTGCGGGAGTTTGAATTTGTGCTTTTGTTACTTCAAAGCGCCCGTTCTGTATACGCTGCAGTATTTCTCTGTGTGTGTGTGTGTATCCCAGATTGTTGTCGTGGAAACTGAGGTGTCTTTATGTTGGTTCTTGGCAACACGAGCACTATTTGACAAAGTGCGCTGATGGAGATTTTTTTTATTTTTCGAAAATGTTGCCCACACTGTGTCAGCCATCACAACTGACAGGTGGGTGGAGTGGGAGGACTCGTAGTAGACTGGTCTCTAACTGGTTTCATTTGAAGCATGTGCCTGTTTGTTCTCTCTTCTCATCGCCTCTGTTCGCTTCTTTTACATCATCACACACTTTGATTCAAGGCTTGCAAACACAAACGGTTACCTAAAAATGTTGCTGCACACGGTTACTTTATTAACACGTGTTTCCTTGTTTCCGCGCTTTCAGTCTAATAAGTTCATCTTTTAATTTTCTACATTTTTTAAAAATAAAATCCCTCCGTGGTCTTGCAGCAAACACAGCTAACCTCCAAAAACACAAAGAGGTGAGTGAAACATGAGATCAGAAGCTGCAGTCACAGAAATTCAAACATCAATCCTTTCCTCTTTGAGTAGTTGGAAGACTAGAAAAGTCAAGTCCATTTACATTTACTTCCTGTCAGCACCTGAGCCCTGTCTCTGGTCACTTCCTGTCAGCACCTGAGCTCTGCCTCTGGTCACTTCCTGTCATCACCTGAGCCCTGTCTCTGGTCACTTCCTGTCATCACCTGAGCTCTGTCTCTGGTCACTTCCTGTCATCACCTGTGTGTCTCATCAGACTTAAAGCTGTTTGTTTGCACTTCCTGACCTCTCTCTCGTCTCTTGTGTTGTTCTTACTCTCTGATGTTCGTCACTTTGGATAAAAGCGTCTGCTGAGTGAATAGTAGAATAGTAGAAGATCATCCTGATCTATCAAGATGTATCATATCAAAGTTTAAAATCCTGGTATCATGACAACCCTGTGAGGTAAAAAGTTTGTTGGTGAACAAAACATCACTCGCTTCTGCAAACAAGCGACCCTTGGTTTCATATCTTCTATCTTCATAGCGTCTGTTTTCATGGCAGACATTTTGACTCGTAGCAGGAGCGCTCAGCTGTTGCATCATAATCGTGTGTCCTTTCCGTTCAGGTGCATCAATAAGACGATATCAGGACTCTGACGCTGGGCCTTTCCTGCTGTCCTACACCTGTGCTGAAAACATTTGTCAGTTGGTTGATTGATAGAAAATACACTTGAACAATGTAGATGATTCATTGTCTGACAGTGACTGTGATTATTTAGTTTGAGGTGAAGAGTCAGACTCTAAACCTCGTCTGTCTCCACCTCCTGTAAAACCTCAAATCCACAGAAGCTTCTGTTTGTCTCGTTTCTTTTGTTCATGTTTGCTTCCCTGAGTTCTTCTTGTTCCTCTTCTTTATCTGACGCTCAGTCAGGATGTTTGGTTGTGTGACGGAGGGACCAATTGGAGCCTGAGCTGACCCATCGTCATGAATATTTATGAGAGAATCAGCCGAGCAGAGAAACTTATTAAAGCTGTGTGTGTGTAGGTCTATTTAGTGCTGCCACCGAGGAGCGCACTTAAGGTGACAAATGAGTCCTTACCTACCTTTGGAAGACGGCCAAACATCAGGCTGAGGAGTGGGAAAGACTCTGCAGCTGCTGCATGGATAATGGAGCGAGAGAGAGCGAGTGAGCTGTGATCATTACTTTATGTGAAGATGCATTAATGGGTTAATTAACAGACAACATGTCACCATTGGGTTGTTGGCGGCTTTTTGTAGCCCAGAGTTTAGAATGTGTGGGTGGAGCTTGAGATGAGCTAGGGGGTGGCCATGGCTAATGAGCTAGTTAACCATCAGCACTGTTAGCTGTCCACAGCTGTTTATTAATTTCATTTTCATTTATTATACAGGAAAGTTTAAAAGTAACATTAAGTTACAGTTTAACGTGCCTGACTCAGTTTAAAAAAACTGGTTTCCAGCAGGTTCCTGTTCTGCAGAACATGAAACATAAACCACAGTCATGACACATTGATTATTGATCAGACTGAAGAAGATTAGAGCGCTCGAGGAATGACGGCGACTATCTGCTCGTTTTTAAACCAGCGGTTAGCGGCAGGTGAAGGACAAAATACAAGTTAGGGGTAGTTATGGTGCATTTTATTGACCTCACAGGGGAGGTTCCTGATGACATACCCGACTGGCAACTTAGATTTCCAGCCTTTAGTGGACACAAGAGGAACTGCAGTTTGAGGTTGCAGCTCGGGTGAATTACTACATTCTTACAACACAAGCACACTAAACTCTCCAGTTATTAATGTTTGTAGTGTGCCATTGAGCGTGTGCAGTAGCGTCTGTCAGTAACCTCTCTCGGCCCTGTCGTCATATTATGGCACCAAAAAGGCAATTATCTGTGAGCAGCAGCAGATAGAGAGCGTTGGATATGAACCATAATGAACACAGTGTTGGAGCATGAATGTGTGCTTCAATAAAGTCCTTAGATTTGAATGTGACGAGTCTCCTCCTGCTTTGTGTTGCTCTCAGCTGCACAATGACACATTTATCAGAGCGCTCGCCGAGGTGATGCTGACGGCACTCGGCCTTCGCTGCATCCTCCACACAACTTCTGACTCATTTAAATGAAAAGGCTTTCTCAGGGGTTCACTGTGAGTGCAGCCTCAACGTGTGTGTTTCTTGGAGTGAGGGTGTGTGTGTGTGTGCGTGTGCGTGTGCGTGTGCGTGTGCGTGTGCGTGTGTGTGTGCGCTGCTCTCATTGTTCCTCTGTACACCCGGGGGTCTGAGTGTGTGTGTGTATTGTATAATGAATGACACGGCGGCACAGTGTGACGGTGGCCTCACGTTACACAGCCGGCTGAGGCTGCACGATATAGTCAAAAACTTCTATTACTGGGGCACAGATGGCCTAGCGGTTAGGTTGCACTCAATGTACGGAGGCTTTAGTCCTCCAAGCTGGGCAGCCTGGGCTCAAGTACGACCTGTGGCTCCTTTTCTGCAGGTCATTCCCCCCTTTCTCTCCCGGTTTCCTACTCTTTTCCCTTTCTTATCAAATACGAATAAAGGTTTTTTAATTTTGGGTCTTCTTATGCCTTTATTTAGAGATAACACAGTGGATAGAGTCAAAAATTGGTCCACCGACTTGGAGGACTACAGCCTCTGTACATCGGCACGCACTAACTGATAAGCCACTAGTGACACAATCTGTTTCATTTTGTAGCCATGTTATAAAATTATATTCTTATGTTGTGTGTATTGCTTTTGCAGCTGCTCTCAAATTCAGTGAAAAAGGTCTCCAGAACTCATATTGCATTTATTTTGTCAGATATTGTGATCGTGATATAATTCACAGGTAGTGTAAGATTAAATGTTGCATTACAACTTTCATTTGTCACATATAAACAAGTAAAATTGTGATGTTGTGAGATTTCGTTGGCGTCTTAACCAAACAAACATTTTTTATTACATGTGGAGAACAAAGCTTGTAGCTCAGAGCGTCTCTGCAGCACATCACTTCATCATAATGCAGTTTGATGACACGTTTACCTTTTACTGTTTAACTGCAGGTCTAGTAGTCGGGAGTCGTGTTGTCACCTCATTTATTTAGCAATCATTTCTGCAACCCTACTGCTGTCTCCCTCTGCACTTAACCCTCAGGCATCAGTTTAATTTACTACCCTCTTAAGTCGCTAAGGACAAAAATGTCCACTTCCAAAAAACTGCTATAAAAATAGAACAGATTGATATTATTTTTTTACTTTTTTCTGCATAAATCTCTTAAACAACTCCATCCCTGCTCAAAACTACCAAATATTGAATAATTATCAGGAATTTAACCCATTAAATGCCAGTTTGATTACATGATTCATGTTCACAGGGAATTACATTTTAAATCTGATGCTACACAAAAACTAACAATGCATCAAAGTAAATATTTCAGATAATCTTTGACATATCCAAGACTGATTTAAAAAAATAAAGAGGAAACATTTGCCCAAAAGGACAAAAATTCCATAGTGATGCAAGAGGGTTAATGAACGCTAACTTGTGTCCAGATCCCTACCAGACCCCCTAACACACACACACACACACACCCTCCCCTGCTACAATCAGTCTCTCGGCTTTATCTGTCTCTGTATTCTGAGAACTTTATCTGAAGTCATTTTCGCTTCATGGCTGCTCTACGTCACCGTTCACTACAGATGTATTTTTAGGTTCTTCTAGTGTTTTCTTGGCTCAGTTGAGTTTCTCATGCTGTGTTTTTTAGGGCGTGTCTTCACACCTCGCCATGTTAGTTCAGTTTGGAAAGCTGTCAATCAAACCCTGGTGTGGGACCAAACAACCGCACAGAGACTGCTGGAAAAGGAGGGTCTCTGTCTGCTTTCTGTTTGTAGTAGAAGAACATGAAGTGACCTCGCACTGACCTCACTGCAGGAAGTAACCAGCGTAGACCCTCTCTGTTCATCATCACTGAACATTAAAGACCACAGGCAGACCTGACGGAGTTTCAGGGACAGTTTGGGTTGAAGAGCAGGTCCTGATTCAGGAGGACTAACGTGGTCCTGGTTCCGGAGGACTAACGTGGTCCTGGTTCAGGAGGATTATCGTGGTCCTGGTTGAGGAAGACTAACGTGGTCCTGGTTCAGGGGGATTATCGTGGTCCTTCTCCTGAATTGTCTTTTATAATGGTCTTCAGAGACTCCAGAACATCAACATATTATTTTCTAACTGCATCGTTTACCTTCAGTGATAAATACAAACAATATAAAAAGTGATGAGTAGAGTCTGTCCAGTTAGAAACTGTAAAGAGTCTTTGGAGCAGCCACAGCCAATCAGGAGGCAGCTCGTCTTTGTTTACTTCTGACCAATCAGAGAGGATTTTCCTGGTGCATCACACATTTAGGTCCTCCTGTAAATGTCCCCAGACATGAGGTAATTTGCAACAAACTGGTCCAATATTCAGACCAGAGCAAACAATCTATAGGTGTGAAGACATTTTATAGACTAAACAATGAAACGACTCTGTGGACAATTGGTTTGATTGATACATCAGATTGATGATAACCAGAATGATCTCATGTTGCAGCACGTCTTGATTCCTCTTCGTCTCTTTCCAGGCGTATGAACTCTCCACCCTGACGGGGACGCAGGTTCTGCTGCTTGTGGCGAGTGAAACGGGTCACGTCTACACTTTTGCCACCCGCAAACTCCAACCCATGATCACGAGCGAAACAGGAAAAGCTCTGATCCAAACGTGCCTCAACTCGCCTGACTCGCCCCCCCGCTCTGACCCCTCCATGGACCAGCGCATGAGTGCCACCGGCTTCGAGGAGACGGACCTCACCTACCAGGTGTCTGAGTCGGAGAGCATGGGCGACACAAAGGTGAGAATCAAAGACTTCTTATACATCAGTCCTTTAAAGAGGTGGACACGCAAAACACTACCTCACATTGAGAAGAACTTCATGAGGCTGCAGCTGAATGCACTTGTTTCTGTTCCCTACCTGTAGTCCTACACAGACCTGAAATGTAGTCCAACAGAGACCTGAAATGTAGTCCAACAGAGACCTGAAATGTAGTCCAACAGAGACCTGAAATGTAGTCCAACAGAGACCTGAAATGTAGTCCAACAGAGACCTGAAATGTAGTCCAACAGAGACATGAAATGTAGTCCAACAGAGACCTGAAATGTTGTCCAACAGAGACCTGAAATATAGTCCAACAGAGACATGAAATGTTGTCCAACAGAGACCTGAAATGTAGTCCAACAGAGACCTGAAATATAGTCCAACAGAGACCTGAAATGTAGTCCAACAGAGACCTGAAATGTAGTCCAACAGAGACATGAAATGTAGTCCAACAGACACATGAAATGTAGTCCAACAGAGACCTGAAATGTTGTCCAACAGAGACATGAAATTGTCCAACAGAGACCTAAAATGTAGTCCAACAGAGACGTGAAATGTTGTCCAACAGAGACCTAAAATGTAGTCCAACAGAGACCTAAAATGTAGTCCAACAGAGACCTGAAATATAGTCCAACAGAGACATGAAATGTAGTCCAACAGAGACCTAAAATGTAGTCCAACAGAGACCTGAAATATAGTCCAACAGAGACCTAAAATGTAGTCCAACAGACATGAAATGTTGTCCAACAGAGACGTATTTTCCACTAAACACAGCGGGGAAAAAAAGAATAGAAAAATGATGTCATAGCTCCCATCCCTATGAGGTGTTCAAATTAGAAATATTGGTGTAAAAATGTCAGGGTCAAAGGTGAAAGGTCAGTGCAGACGATCAGTATATTTTCTTTGTTTCTTCGTTCCTCTGCTCATGGATAAATGTTGCAGGAAATGTCTCCAAAAAAGGCTTGAGGAGAGAAGGAGCGCAAAAGATGAAATCCACGAGCAGTTGTGGAAAATAATCTCTCCTATTGTAAACAGAGTAGTGAACTTTAGCCTGCTGTATGTGAGGCGTCGGCTTTGAGCCTGTGGTCATGTTTTAATTAAAGCAGAAAAACGTCTGCGTAGTCCTTCAAAGGGCCGAGAGTATTATCTCTGTCTGCACTTCACCTCTCTGACCTCTCATCCAGGAAAGCCTGGTAACCCTGGGACTGATAAATCACGGCAGGTCTGGGTTGTGTTAGGGTGAGAAACATGCAGCCGGCTATAGGAAGGTGTTTATCTTTGATTATGGGATGGATGAAACACTGAGATAGTTCAACACAGCGGACGTCTCTGAAAACATCGGACAATCACGCACGTTTCTCTGAACTCTCACAGAACAGGTCCAGTGTTCAGTGCTTCACTGCTCAATGTTTTAAAACAACAAAATATCTGTTATTTTAATAATCCGTAGAAGATTATGAAATCCCAATAATTTCACAGGAGAGGAATGAATCCATCAAACACTGAGCTGCAGTGTGCAGGAGTCTATCTGCATTTTGTGATCGTTAAAAAAAGCAATGAAACTTTTTTTTTTTGTGCCAAGGACTTTGGTTTGTGTTGCCATGGTGTTGAGACGGTCTTTAATATCATATCAGGGTTTAGAAGTGTTGTCTCATGATGGCCCTCGTTTGGCGTGATGTGTTAAAAAGCGATAGAAGATGAAATCACTTTCCGTTTGACCCTTTCATGACCCCGATGAGATGCTTCTGCTTCGTCACTTTGCTGCTAACGTTCTTAAACTTCTGCTCTTTGACGTTTGGAAGTGAAGCGATGAACTCAACGACACACACGCTTCACTGTCCACACATTTTGCGCGATCAAGGAGCTGAGACGGCGTCCTCCGTGTGCGCAGCCTCTGTGCAGCAAACACTTGTGTCCTGTTTGCTGTTGTCACAAAGTGCACACACTAACTCTGCTCCGTGGAGACGGACCGACCTCTGCATGTTAAGCCGCTCTTCTTGCCCGCTCTGCTCATTGATAAAAATTAGATTCGGCCTCTGTTACCTTATATGGTCTGGTTTCCCTGCCTGTTCTCTTGGCTGAGGCCCCTCACATTCCTTATAAGCTGCAGCTGTCTTTAGAGTCCTGTGATTTCCCCCCTCTTAACCCCCCCCCCCCCCCCCAAACACACTCATGTGGTGAGATGGAGGTATGGATGTAGATATGAGCAGGTGGGATGGAAACATTGGAGCGATACTTTTGGTTCTGTTTCATGTGATGTCTGTCGGTTGTTGATCGCTCTGCGGTCTGAGACCCTGAGAACAAAGCTCACACAGGGACACGCTGCTACATGACACTCAGGACTAATACATGATGTCATGGAGTGGATTTATGTGTTAGTGCGGCTAGAGGAATGCTTTTAAAAAACATGTTGGTCTGACTGAAAACATATAAAGTTGAATATTAAGATTTACATAACTTGATCGGGGGATGATCAGCTTCAAACCCAAACTGACCCGAGGTGTTCTGAGCATGCTAACAGATCCCTCTCTGGGTTTTGACACGGAGGTCGACCTGGTGGAGATCAGCATGGAGAGTGTTGGAGAGAGAGAAGCAGACGAGGAGAAACAGGACACGCTGTGAGAGAGAAACAAGATATTGTTTGTTGATCAATCTTGATTTCTGATTGTTTGACGTTTTTTGTTTATTTTTATTGATTTGAAGTCCACATATGATGCAGATCTCCATTTTAAAACTGCCTTACAGTATAGTGTTACAATGCTGGATGCCCATGCTAAACGTGGACAAAGCTTCAGATCATGAGGTAGACGTATGTTGGAGTAATCCTAGGATGAGTCTGCAGAGGGCACTAAACGGTTTGTTCTGTAAATCACAACAAAGTTCCCTGATATGAAACCAAGAACTTCCCCAGACGGCTTCAAGCCTCTACATGAGACGCTGAAACCTCTTACATAGACTCTCTTCTCCCAGTACTGGAGAGCAGCCCTCCCTGGCAGTCCTGCAGCGTTCTGCACCCACCTGAAGGCTTCCAGAGAGCTGGAATTAATTAATCCCGGGGGGAACTTGGTAAATGAGGAGAATATGGGATATTTAACAGCACAGAGGACGCAGCTAAATGTATGCAGCATCTAAGACAAATTACCCTGCAAAGACAGTAAAGCATATCGTATTGCATCGCACCATAACTTACTAGCAAGCAGTTAGCGCATCAGCAGAAAGTATCAGAAGTCTTCAATCGTTTCAAAGTGAATCATGACTTAAAAACTTTGAGCTGTCGGCTTTAAAAAAAAACAAACATGCCGTCCATGAAGCGCGATCAACCGCTTTAGCATCTCATCAGAAAGCTTCCTTTGCGTTTAGTTCAGGCAGCAGACCCGACACGAGCTAAGCTAATGCTACTGTTAGCCTTAAACACAAACCTATTTAACTGCTTGTTACAAGGAAAGCTGATAAACAGGACTGGGTAATTGTAGCTCTGTTACAGCCAGTTAGAGCTACAGCATGCAGGTCGAACATGCAGGACGCAAAACCTTCTCTCTCTCTCTCTCTCTCTCTCACTCACTTAGCAGCAGCTCTCACTCGTTCACCCAGCAGAGAGAAGTTAGCATCAGGGCTACATCCATGTGGTGGCATCTCTGATTTTTCTATCCACAATATTCTTTGAAAGTGTTTAACTCGATTAATCCCTGAATAATCTGCAGGACACTCGATGGCTGAATCAGCTGCAGCCCTAAAAACGTCTGAGCAGCAGGTCGGCTTAATGCACGTCTGGAACGTCTGGACCAATTCATCAGGACTGTGGTGTGTCATACATACAGTCCAGGCTAGTCTAAACAGAGCGGAGTCTGAAAGGCTGGTCGGGGGGTGTGGGGTGTTTTTTTTTTTTTTTTTTTTTTGAGAAATGACAGAGAGGCTGAGGAGATAAGCAGACGTGATTTAATGTTCAAATCTGTGCTCATAAAATCACGTGACGGCAGAGATACTCTTGCACGTATACACCTCAGTTAAACTACGACTGGAAGAGGCGTTCTGAGCATGCTCCACAGTTCCTGTGCCGAGGTTCAACCAGGAAGTCAAACTGCAGAAATATGTAGCATTACGAGTCGTGTTGACGTCTGCCTTCAGCTATCACCATACACTAGAGGGATGGCGTGCATCGTATTTGAACCAAAGTAAAGCGTAGAGCACGTAAGAAATGTACAGAGCTGTAAAGTCGTCCATTTTTTGTTACAAGCTGTTTGCTAATTGACTCCTCTCACTCCTTCTCTCGCTCTGATCTGTGTTTTTGTTTTCAAAGCCTGGCTACTTTTCAACCCTCTGGATCATTCAAATACTGGAGATTGAATCATTTTAAAACACGTGGTATCCAAAGTAGCAACGTTTTGACATTCTAAATGACCTCACTCAGTTTTGGATCAGATAAACTTCTTCATTTCAGATTTGAAAAACATGCAAAAATGTTTCTCTAGAAATGTGCTGATATTTAGCTGAGCTCGTCACCATCATCACCTTCTAGAAGGATCTTTAGCCGAGTGAAGCTTTGAGCAGTGTGGTGTCAGAATGTGCCGAGCATCGCAGCACAGCTTTGTGCTGATTGTTTGTTAAAGTTTGAGACTTTGAGGAGAACTGTGAGTCACGTCTTCATCATGTAATCATCTGCTGCTGAGGGGCGATTCAATCTGCTCAGTTTGAAGGGAAGAGTCACACGGAGGAGCTGGAGTTTGATTCTACTGAGAGGAGAGATGAGAAGACGTAAAGTTAAAGGTGTGTGACGCTGTTCGTCTGCATGAGATCAGACTTCACACCCTGAATGGAGTACTCACAAACCAGCAGCTGAAGTCCCCCAGTTTAAAACATTAGGCCTATGGAAAGGCATTGTGGGTAATGTAATGTCTGACACAGAGTTGAAGGATCAGCTCATCACAAAGAAGAGGGTACGTCCCCCCCCAGCTGATCTTCTTGGCTTCAGTTGCTGCTCTTCAATATCCGATGTGCCTGCTGTGCAGATGTTTTTATGATTTTGGGGTTATTTTTGGACCGGGGTGGCAAAATCCCACAACTCATGTTTGCAGAGAGGATCTGGCTCAGGATCAAGTTCTCAGTATATCACAG